AGCTCCACATCTTCTAGAAACTTATTGGCCACCAATTCCAGGGCATCCGTGGGCCAGGACTGGAACCAATCAATTGTACAGCAATTGATGAGTGAAGGGAACATCCGCAGGCGGTTCCGGAAGGTGTCCCCAATTGGACTCATGGCTAATGAAAAGTAGACCTTGTTAATTCCCTTCCTCCAAGGCAGGGAGGCCCAACGGGGCAGGTAGGTATTTCCAAGGATTCTGGAGACATAAGTTGGGGGTGTGTGTCATGTTTCCTGTTGGTGTTCCAGGGATGTAAACATGAATAGCCATGACAGGTGTCTGGGAAGCTTGGGAGAATCATGGGGTATTTTCATTTAACTTTGTGATGGGATCTCAGTATATTACAATTGTCTACTAACTGGTCTCCCATACACACTATTGTCCCTTCTGCATCCTTCGGGTCACTTAGCCAGAGTGGCTTGAGCCCTTTGCTCTATTTCTGCTGACTCTAAGATATATGGGAGCCATGGATGCCCCATACACAGTTACTCACAGAAGTTGTTGTAGGGTGTCAGGTTGTTTCTGACCCCATCTCCATCAAACCTCCAATTTTGAATTCTACACCCCAAACTTCATTCATTGTTTATTTAAACTCAGTGTGGTAGGAGGAAGTGTGATGTACAGGTGGAAGTGTATGGTCAGTGAGGCTGAAGAACAGAAAGAAAAAGAGATGCTTGGTTCGAGATAAGGGTAGAGACAGTCTGGCTGGTGGCCTTATAAGACCACAGGTTAGGAATGTTGGTCCTTCTCCTAATGGAGAGTAATTTAAGTGTTTTAATTTGTGTGTGTACGTGCACACATGCAATGATCATATCTGCAGTATACATGAAAAAAATGATCCTGGCTCAATATAACAGAAAGGTCTGGAATGGGAAAGAGTAGAGACAGAACAGTTACAAGGTTGGAGGTGAGGTCTGGGTGAGATGACAGCAGCTTAGCTCATGTGAAGGTGGATGAGATGGAGTTAAGAGGGTGGAGATGAGAGACAGTCAGGAGGTAAAAACTGAGAGAAGGATTAAATGCAGCTCCTAGGTTTCTGGATAGTTTGGAGATGCCCTGCACATTGCTCTGTGCAAGGGCAATATGCTAAAATGTGTTCTTTTTCAGAGGAGAATTCAGAGAATTGAAGAGAGTGGAACAGGTTTATTAAAACAGTTGTTCAGGAGAATGGGAAATGTTGCCAGAGGAACTCCAGGCTCTGACTTCTGACTGGTGCTTTGACTGGATCAACCCTGGAATCATTTAAGGGGATTGGGTGTAGGGCACTCAGAAGACCTGGAAAGATCCAGAGGAAAAAGGGAAAACCGAGTCTTACCAAGGACAATGTGAAGGTTCTTTTTCACCCTCTCAATAAAGAAGTTATACATAGAAAGAGGAGTGACTTCAATCTTCTCTCTTTCTGTCCTGGCTGCTGTTTGCATCTTCTCCACAATGTCAGCCTTCTCGTCAGCTGGGAAGATGTTGGGCACATCGCCTGTGTTCAGAAGCATGTTGATGTCCTCCACAAATGACTCATCTTTGATCTGGTTATCACTGAAGAGGAACACAGTGCTCTTAGTGGCCACGCCAACCTGCAGCATGATCTTCTTTAGGTCCTCCCGCCAGTCATTACTGGTATAGTTCTTAGTGATCTCGATCTGGTATAGCTCGTATGAGTTCATGAATGTGGACAGTTTGGTGGCACTCTGCCGTCCGCTGCCCCCAATGCCCACCAGGAGCAAGTGGCCTTTGTTCTGCTTCAGGACCCTGCAGATCCTGGAGATGTGCTCAATGGCGAACTTGAACATGACCAAGGACATGGGGGCCTTGCTGATGATGTTGAACTCTTCCAGGTAGTACTCCATGACCACTGTGAGCTGTTTCAGGTCAGTGATCTCATCATAGATTTTTGGGTCACTTTCTGGCTTGAAGAAATCTCCAAAGAAGAGGCTACGGATGTTATCATCCACGATCTTTCCAGTGGGTGACAAGTGGATGAGCACCTGCGAGAAAGATAAGTTTCAGCTGGGCATTCAGCCAGTGGCCTAACCAGAGGAAGTGGGAGGTGCAGAGGGAGGGAGCAGGAGATGTGCTTGTTTCCTTCGAGCACATCCTTCAAGTCATGGTTAATTAATAGTTTTTAAGTAAACCAATGTCATATGTGAGTCTGATGGCTGTAAAGACTTTGATGAAAAGGACATTAGATAAAGAGCATGAAAGTGAGGGTCAGTCTGTTTACCAAGCGGTTAAGAGGTGGTCAGATCATAAGGTTCACAGAGAAGGCACTGGAAGAATGACAAAATTTCCATGTGCTCGCTCATTCACCAAGTAGAAGTTCAGGCACTACTTCTGGTCCCTGCTTTGTGCCTAGAGCAGGACCGTTCTAGAAGCTTCCTTTTCCTGACATTAGAAGCACTTCTGCACTTGGACTCTGGAGGTGACATGGACACCTCTGCAATTTTTCTGTAGAACAATCACAGCTTCTTAGCAATGGAAGTGGAACCAGATGACAAATATATAGGTTTAAAATGACTCCTTTTACATCACAATGGAAAAGAGAAAATATCCACAAGTGGTAGACCATGGCAATCTTTCACTTGGGCTCAGGGCCTCAGTCATACCATAAAAATATGTGGTTCGTTTCTCAACTCACAAATTAATTGCATTTTAAGTTAATTATAAATGAGTAGCATCATATATTAAACTACTTTGAATGGATTCAAACTTTATGTTTACATGGAAGTGAAGTAAAATTGGACCAAGTAAAATATCACCAAATCAAACAACTAGTTGATAATACTGTTTCCCAAGATTTAGAGAGCAGAGCTGTGTTTCCATTGGGAAGGGAACCTGAAATCTGAGACAAATGTGATCAAACACTTGGGATCATTTCTGAAGTCAAATGGTCACAGAGTCTGGCTTACCTTCTCTACACTCTGCTTGAAGCAATTGGAGGTGGTTTCCTTCACCATGTTGAAGAAGACCTGTCTGTCCTCCTTGTCAACCAGACGGTCATAGAAGACCCGATATACCTCATGAATCCAAAGTCGGATAAATTTTTCTACATCCTAAAAATCCAGAGTTAATTATCTGAATGAATGGAAGGTGATGCCTGAAGTGCTAGTTCTCAAGTAGGACCTAAATCCTGGTGTTGATGTGAGGATTAGATGAGATAATGCTTATAAAATACTTAGCATGATAACTAACATAGACTAAATGCTCAGTAAAAGTCAGCTGTTACCACTATCATTACACAGCCCCCCCACCAACCGAGGACATTGCTGAACGATGTTGGTAACAGAAGTGGTAGTGGCTGACCTGCAGGTGGGTGTGAGGGCAGAGGAGCACCCCTTGGATCACCCGTGAGAAGTCTCGCAGGTTAAAGACGTAATGTGACTTGGAGGGAGTTGGCAAGAAGTTCTTCACCGCAGCTCTATAAATTGTCTTAGTAGCTTGTACCAGCATCTTTCCGTACCTTGGGAGGAGAGGAGGCACACCCATCAAGGAAGGGCCAGAACTGAGAAACCCCAGGCCAACTTCCGGGAGGATGCTGGAACTTCTTACCTTAGGAACATTACATCAAACCCTTTCCCAAAGTGCCAGTCGGCGATAGAACCGAAAATCTTGGTAAGAATTTCATCCTCAAAGGCACTGATGGAAATGATATTCAGATGGCGAGTGAATCGTCCTGGAAAACACACACACACACTCGTGAGTGTGCACACACACACTCTTCCTGGACCAAGTGACCCTGGGAGACAGGAGAGTTGAGTTCTGTCTGTCTTCACGTTCTAGAGCTATGCTGTCCAATATGGCAGGCTTTAGCTACAAGTAGCTATTTAAACTTTAATTACTTAACATTAAAGATGGATTTCCTCAGTCTCACTAGCCACATTACAAGTGCTTAAGAGCCACGTGTGGCTAGTGGCTACTGTGTTGCTCAGCGGATACAGAACATGTCCGTGATCACACAGGCTCTATCAACAGCACTAACACAACGCTCAAGACTGTTTTGGACAGGTAAAGGCAATACACGGTCATCGTAAAACAGTCAAGCAGTTCAGAAATACCTTTGTAGAAAGTGAGTATCTTCTTATTTCATTACCTTCCATGCAACAAATCCATCCTCCCTCTGCCCAGGTTAACCACTATCCATTTGGTATCCTTAGAGCTATCTGTCTATGTATATTAGATATCTAGATCTATATATCTATACTATATATATCAGCTTTATTAATATCTCAATAACTCACATACCATACAATTCATTCACCTAAAGCACACAATTCAATGAGTTTTAATACATTCAGAGTTGTGCAACCATTACCACGATTTTAGAACATTTTAATCACCCTAAAAAGAAATCCTGTATCCGTTAGCAGGCACTCCCCATTTTCTCACAGTCCTTAGCAACTAAATAACCTGCTTTCTGTCTCTGTAGATTTGCCTGCATATGTGTTTTTCTGTTTTTTTTATAAAAAGACATCTTCTTATAAAGTAAAATATAGATACAGAAAACCACACAAAACAAATGTATAATTTAGTGAATCATTATAGGGTTAATACCCTTACATCTACCACTCAGATGTAAGGGTGGGATGGAACTTGGCAGCCCTCCCCAGAAGCGTCTCCCCACATATCCCAGTCCAGTCATTGCTCTCTCCCTTTTTCCCTCCAAAAGTTACCACTATCCTTACTTTAATAATCATTGCTGTCTTGCACATTTCTTTATGGCTTTAATCACCCAAGTATTTATTACTAGACACCAGAGTTTAATCCTGCCAATTAAAAATTTTTAATATGTTTTTCAAGTATCTTTTAATCTATAGGTTTCTCTCTCCGTTTCTTTCCTTTAGCTTTTATCTGCTGAAAATCTGGGCTGTTTGAGCTGCAGAGTTTCCATAGTGAGGACTTTGTTGATTACACACTCATGGTGCACTATATCATGTTCCTCTGTCCTCTGTATTTCCTACAAATTTGTAGCTAAATTCAGA